GGATGCATACATGCAGGGTTGTATTTCTTCCAACTTTTAACATTTCTCACCCCATTATTTGGCATTTTCTTACATCACCTCCTTCCTGCCTGCAGGTAAATCAAGCTCCCGTCCCACCCCATACCCCCTCCATGAGCTTACTCCGGTGACAGCTCGAGTTTTCCCCCGCCATGCCTGCTAACCTGCTCCCTTGTAACACGCTTGTCCCTCACCCACATTGCTGACAAGTGCTGGGCTACCGCGGGCAGCTGCCGGGGTGTTTGATCTACACCCATGCCGACAGCTTGGCAAGCACGCCAGCACTAACTGGTCAAACAGCAGCAAGCAGGACAGGTATCTTTCCAGCTCACTGTGCAGGCTTGCCCTGGACAGGAGCACCAATTTACATGTCTTTCATCTCAGCTCTAATTTTCCTGTAATTAGAGGTAGTTGGTATCTGTGAAACATCAACCCCTCTATCAAATGTGGCTTGAATTAGATTTCAAATTCACACAAGGAAAAACAGCACAAAGATGCTTGTCTCTTTAAGAAGTTACGTTTTTCCACAAATTAGCCGACCTTCCTTTGCCATTGTAATCTGGTTCCTGTGGAGGCAGGATGAAGAGATAATTTCACCTAATCAGGAAAGCAATCTGTTCCGATTTTCTTGAAGCTGGGACATGAAATGAGAGGCCCAAGGGCTAAAGTATTTCAAGGTATTACGGAAGAAAGTGAAGTCTGAAAGCAGTGAAGTTGAAGACTGCACTGGAAATCCGAGGTTAGACAATGCTGGGCATGAATACAATGAAAATCCTCCTGGCATTCTCCTGTTTACAAGACTGGTCACCGTGTTTGAAGCTTTATATCCTGAGGTTGGAGAGAAAGCCCTGTTCCTGGAGAAGGCCACAGCAGTTTCCAGCATACGTCTGGGGAGAAGGCAGCGCATACAGACCTTTCCAACAGCTCAGCTCCCCTAGGAAGACACAGCCATCAACAAAGCCACTTCTGAAGCAGTTCAGCTCGCTCTTCTCATAGAATCATTTAGGTTGGTTGGAAAAGAGCCTTAAGATCGAGTCCAACCATTAACCTAACACTGCCAAGTCCACCGCTAAACCATGTCCCTAAGTGCCACGACCGTCTCTTCCTACCATACTCCCTTTTTCTTCACTTGACACCAACCGGTCCCCAGTTCCCACATGAGATGTGGGACACGTGTCTCATATTTATCATTTCAAAATTTTAAACTAACCCGAGGTGATTAAGGCAATCAAGGAAAATTAGCCACTGCATGAGCTTCCACCTTCTATGAACCACTCCATTATCAAAGCTGCGCTCTTTAGTACCTCTGATTACAGCTCTAGAGGGCTGTCTCTCTATTTGACCCAGGGTTCAAGTTTTGTTTTGTGTGGACTTTCCTCCTAAGCCTTTCTAAAACATGGTTCTATAAACAGTTTCTATAGACTGTCTAACATAATGATTTAAAGCAATGCCTCTCAACCATTAAGAAACAGAGCACAATCTTTATAATTAATTACTAAATTCTCATTATTAATATTCCTCAAACCAGCCCTCATACCAGTGCAGAGGTGTACTGCAGTCTGAAAAGCAGTAATAACAGCAAAGCATTTACTAATTTTGAGTGAAAACACATCAGTGGATTTAACCTCTGTAAGAGTCTTGAAAAGTACAAACAGCACCGGCTCCACAAAATTTTTTGCTACACAGACACACTTTTATGTTCCAAGACTACAAACACAACATGCCCAAATGTTTAGCATTTTTTTTTCTCCCTACTGTCTTTAGCAGAGGTCAGGCATTATAATCCCAGTGAGCACAATCCACCACTAAATACCTCTCTAACAGCCACATTTTCTGCCTGTTTAACATGGCTTCAGGAACAACAAAGCAACAGCTGTCTTTAGGAAGGTGCTTTAAAAGCCTACAAAAAATTTCCAAGCAACATGAAGCAGCATTTTGGAAACCCAACAGAAAAAAAAAGACTTGAACAAGGCTCAAGGAAGGCTTGATGAGAAACGGGATGAAGTGTATGCTAGAGAACAGGGGCTGTGCCTAAACCATCCCTTCCCAATCACTTGTCCCAATACTTGTGGCCTTAGTTTCCCCATCTCTAAAGCCAGAGTAAGCCATCCTTACCAGGCAGACTGAGACACTCACAAAGATTGCTATTTAATTACTACCCACTCTGAGAACAGCCCAGACACTGATCACTAGTGACAATCTCTCTGAATTCACCTATGCACATGAACCTGCACCAGCATTAGTAGAAAGATAAACTTTCAAGAACATCCTGAAATAATTATTCCCAGACTATGGCAATTTTTTTTTTCCCAGAACTTGGATAAACAGACTAACTTAAAAAAAAAAAAAAAACACCTCACAATGTTTTTTTCTCATACACAAGTTTAAAAGGTAAGCATTAATAACTGTTTCTGTCACCTTTCAATTAATTTTTCATTTATTTCAAATGTCTGAGCTCAGACTGCTTAGCTATAATAATAGCTGTCTGTCTCACGCCTCTGTGCCTGGATACCATAACACCCTTTAAATCTTTTCTAAAGAAGAGGGAGGGGAAAAGCAGCATTCCACCACTGCCAGCAGAAGAAGTAGCTACTGTATAAACAGGGATTCAATACCTTGCTGGCAGTGTTATCAACATTACATAAACCAGTACCACGCTTTACATAAAATGGCACTTTAACACGGTGGGAGATGCTTATACCATGATTTAGTTAAAACAAAATCTTTCATCCCTTACAAATTATATTTCATCCAAATCAGTTCCTAGATCCAATTCACCATGCAAACATATAAACCCTTGTCCCAGGAAAAGAGGAAGAGGCACTGACCTTATCATCTAGCAGTAATGAGACAGCCAGGTAAAAGACAAGAATCAAGTGTTTTGCTTTTGCACAAGACCTCATTTCTACATAGCTATTTGCCACTTAGAGGCAAATAAATAAAGGTGACTGACACCATCACTACCTCTGCTTACGCAGCCCTATCAGAATCAGGAATTTTTCTTAAACATACGCAACCTGCATTCAAAAAGAAAAACACAACAGACCAACTTCAATCATATACTTGGTTACATTATTGGAGTGCCCCTGGGAAAGAAGTTCAGACAGAAAATAAAGAATTTCATCCCACCCGTAAACATGAAGAACAGGGCATTTCAGTATTATAGTAAACGTTTATTAGGGTTGCTCTGTAACTGTGTAGCTCTCATTCCATCTTTTGCCACAGACTGAAACAGCGTTTGCCCTGGCAAGTCAGTTTAAGCATAAATACCTAGGGACTCCAAACAAGAAAAAGAAAACTCTTTGTCACGACGACTATTATAAATCTGACAAACCATCAGCATCCTCAGTGTTGCCTAGATTCAGGCACCTGCTCTTCACTCCAACACTGAATCTTCATCCATGCCAGCTTCATGCTATTTACTAGCAGTACCAAGAAGCAGGGCAGTTATACCGCCTGCGAGGTGGACGAGATACATCTATTCATTATCGGCAGTCTACAGAATGTACATATTCAGGGAGAAGTTACAAAATAAAAAGGACACTACTACGTTTTAAATGGTTTATTAACACTTCAACTTTTAATATCTTTGAAGAAGGCCTGAAAGGTAAGTTTTGCTTATTGACTTTGTCTTTTCCCCTTTGGCAAAATGTCACCTTCCACCTCCTCCCTCCACCCTCTCTCCTCCCAAGAGGATAATGAAGTTTCAAGCTAGTGTTCGGTTGCTTCTTATATGTAAATTGGCTTCAATCATAGCAGCAGAAACATGCAAGCCTGGGCAATAGTGTTTGTCAACAGCTTTTAGAGAATGAGTAAAAGTGCACAAATAACTTGTGCATTGACACAAACAACTTTTTCTTAAATGAACTTCATATATATATTTTTTTTTTTTAAGTGGCTTAAATTTGGTGCCCAGAATTACTACAGAAGTTGTATCTTCTATTTAACTAGGCTTTTTTTTCCCCCCGAACCATCACACAACCCTTTTTTAAAGTGCTATATTCATAAAACTTTAAAATACTACTTTGATACTGTATACTTGTTCCATCTTGCTCTTTTGAGAAATCAACAGAGCAATCTGCAATGCATATTTAACTGAAGTCACATGTTTAGCCTCACAGGACTTTATGGGCATCGTTGTCTGATCATATCACTAGGAGCAGTGGAGAGACTGTATTTCCCTGTGCTTACATACACAAGTAAGCAGGCAGACAAAGCAAGAAGTTCTAACCATTTCAGGAACAAAGACAAACAATTTAATCCATATTACATAATTCACTGAATACAGTTGATCTCATCCAAAGTGACTCCTGAGAGCAAAATAGTTTTAGCATTACATTTTATATACAGCTATGAAGGGATTACCGGAAACCAAGACAGTCTCCTTATACCATTAGTAAGTACACTGGTTACGAGACCGCTGCACACTTTCACTTTGAAGACATTACTTAAACCATGACCAAGTTTTACCACCTGTTTGTTATTTATGAAAGAAGTTATTTCAATCTGATTTTATCATTATTTTTACCTTATTTCTGCTGCCGGACATCAAAACCTGAGTCAGCTGCATTGAGCAATGATTCCTTTTTCTGCTCTCAGGTCCTGAAAGTGCTAGTTACCCTTGAAAACCTCCGTACACTATGCTGTAAGTATTTTAAGATCTTCCAGAATATTTTTTTTTCTCTTCCTTTCAACGCAGGAATGACTGCTCTGTCTGAAGCAAACTACATCCTGCACACTATTGCTTTCGAATTTTCCACGTAACAGTTTGGAACAGGCTATGAAAGTTTGATGCAGCAATGTTCTGTTGGGGGGTGGGGGAGGGGTGGGGTGGGGAAATCGGGAGAATTACACCATTCTGAACCAGCGGAACCAAAATAATCAAGACCTTAACATAGTTTTTCCAGTCACTGGGATGGAAGGAGACTTGAACGCAGACACTGGAACAAGTAATTGGAAACATCTGTGCTTGCATGCTTAAGTGAAAAGATAAGCAGTATTTGCATTTTCTTCATCATCTTCCTTGCACATATGCACGATTTTATAAAAACGTTTATCACAGAGAGCAATGACAGAACATGACGTAATTATAGTTTTCTTTTTTTAAAAAAAGCACTAGAAATGAAAGGCAACCAAGATAATGTACATCTTCTCCAGAACATTTTTCTCAGCTACATAAGGTGTGCATACACCAAGGTCTAACACACTTAGCTGCACCACATCAAGTCAAGCTGTCCAAAAGCATACACGATTTTGCTTACAGGAGTATATCCCTTCTGCAATTTTTCAGTTTACAAGTAATTCCCTGTATTGGATTATGCTTAGTCAGAAGTACAGATAATATTTTGTTCCAATACTACTGTTTGTTTTTATGACATATTCAGAGATGAGGCAAGACATAAGATTAAGTGCAGGGAAGCATTTCAGACCCCCAAAAAATGCATTCTTTAGAACTTAGCTATACATGGTTAACATAGGTAGATCTGCCAAGAGTTGCATAAAAGTTATTTTCATTTTCAAAAGGTGAGCAACTGAGGCTCACTCAGCAAATATCAACTCTTCTGCATCATGGAATTCACTATGGGTGTCTGAATCATTCAAATTGCAGCTTTGAATATCTGCTAAAACAGAATTGCAAACCGAGTAAGTTAGTATATGTGAATTAAGTACCCTTATGAAATCAAAGAATAATGTTGACTCCTGGAAGACACCCAGAAGATCCAAAGATGGAACAGAAGGTTGATTATTACACTCCTGCACAATCCAAGCAAATTGTTAATATATTGAAAACATTCATGCCTGGTATTTGTACCTGCTGGATATTCAAATTATTCTGTCCCAAAACAAGTTTGATAACCATCCTCTCTGTAGCCAAAAGCAGCCAGAAAACAGTTCATTTTTTTAAACAAATGGAATGGAAACCGACACCTGCCCCGCCCCCCACCCCTTGAATTACAACAGTCTAAGCCAGAGACTTAAGCAAATAAACTTCAAAATAGCCATTTGTTAAAAGTAGCAAATTACCATGAACAATGAACTTGTTAGGAATCCCTTCTAAAAGTACGACACACACAAACAGGCTACCCAGCAGAAAAATCTGTTAACAATTTTATTTCTTTTGTAATGTTAAATATTATGGGACAGGATTGTAAGGATGAAGAACTCTCAACAATGCCTCACAAGGGATAAGAAAGAAATTCTGCCATGATATTAGCAAAGTAAGGTAAGGAGAAAATTTACACAGTAAGAGGCACCATTTCCCCCAGAATACCTCTTGTCATATTCCTGAATGAGTGGGATTAGCAATCTAATAAATCATTTTTCAAGAGGTAACAGCAACAGATAAAATTTTAAAGGATTATTAAAATAACATTTACAAGACTCTGAACAATTTTTGAATTCTTATTAAAACCACAGAAAGAAAGAACAATTCTTTATTTATGAATTTTCATAAAGGACTGACTGTGCAACTGACACCTGCTATTGATGACTTAATTTACAATTTTGTCCAGTAGCCGAACAGTTTGTCTTTTCAGACTGTTTTCTAACCGTGCGAGATCATTAAAGGCAAAGCCTGTTACGATGCTGTACACAAAAATGGCCACTTGGGCCATACTACCAATGAAGTGGTAGGTAAACAAATCTTTTTCTGGCCAAGAAAAAAAAAAAAAAAAAAAGGAAGCTGCATTTTGCATGCTTCTCTCACTCATTCTTTCTACAAGATGAACTTCCCTAGAAAGAATCCAATGAAAATGGCTGCAATTACAACAAGAAGTGAAGGAAGAGAATTAGACCCATTATCTCTGAGGGCCAAAGCTGTGGGTGATCCAGATTTATCCGAGTGCGCTACCTTTCTGAGCCTCAAGCCTTCATCCTGAGGGGAGGAAAAAAAACCACAGATGGAAAAAAATTTATGAACACCTCTTGTTTACAATTGTAAAAACTGAACTCAAAGGCCAAATTTACTGGTGAACATTTATATAAAAGTTTAAAAAACCCCAAACATTACACCACACCAAAATCCAAAATATGAGCATAGCAAACCATAATATTTCAAATAAGGACAGGTAATCTGCTAGTCTCTCTCCATGCTCTGGTTAAGAAAGATTCTGAAATTCTTGCTAGGCACAACGAAGAACACTGCTTTTACTTACTACGTGTCAGAATTAAATAGCAGCAATTTCTTATTGTTAAGGAGAAACATCTGCTTTGTGTAGTGTTTCTCCAAATGTTCCAATGTCATCAGACTTACAGGTGTGGAGACATCATTATTTCATGGTTCTTTAAAAGGCTACCGTGGTCAATGAAATTGTCAGATTTTGTCAGAATGTGTTAGCAAATATATAGAAAAGTCACATAAAGTCATGTATTGACTAGTTACAGGTTACAGAAATGGCACCTTTACATAAAGGTACTGGAAAGTAGTGTTTGCTTACCTCCTCTGGCCAAACAATTGTTCTTGTTCACTAACAATTTGTGATACAGAATGCTACCACTTTGGATCTCATTTACTCATTCTTAATGAATAATAATGCACTTTTAATAAAAGCTATTAATTTGGCATCTCTGATTTAGACTTAAAGTAATTAAGACCACCTTAAATAGGACCATTTCATTCATTTAAGAAGAAAATTATCTAGCTTCAGTATCTCATCCATGACAAAGTCTCAATCACTGAGAAATTCAAAATATACAGGACAGTAAAATCGTATTACAAACCAATCTTGACACTCTAACAGTTGCATCTACTTTCTGGAATACACATCTATTCGCCTAATCACAAACCAGACCTTTCAATCAAGAAGAGCAAAGCCACTTCAACATAAACATGAAAGCAGAACTTACTCTCAGGTGCCGATTTTCATCCGTCAGCTTCATAATCTCTGCTTGAAGTCTTTTGCACTCCTCCACTAGCTTCCTTGTTTCAGTATCATTAAGTGAAACACTATGTGGTTTTGGCATCGGTCCATCCTGCTTAGATGTATTCAGTACTGGGGCGGGTTTGCTTGCATCTATATCATTCTACAAATATTAAGAATGACTTCAGAATTTTACTTACCCAGACAACAATCATCCACAGCTTAAAATTGAAACAATCCAGCTACTAATATAGTTCAATGAAGTTTATATTTACAGTAATCTGAACAAAGACTTCTGTTATCAGTTCAATTCTGATCAGTTCAAATATTAAAAAGCAAGAGAAGATTGCACTGTTTGCATTTGGTACCACATGCTACTGAGACAAAAATTAATACTTCAGCTGCTTAACATTGACCCAGCAGGCATGCAAAAGACGGCATAAAATACACCAAACAGCATTTGAACTTGAGGGGAAAAAATAAAAGGAAGAAAGTAATCCTGCAATAGTAAGAAACAAAACAAAGTAAAAAGAAAACAGATTGTGTCACAAACTAACATGAAGTATGTATGGCACAAATATTTCGCATGTATACCACCTCTTACCGAAGGAAAATAAAGTATTGCACAAACATGGAATTTAAGTCTCACAGCATCTCTGAAATACACATTACTAATTTGAATACAAGTGAAAAGTCACATAAAAAGCTGTGAAAAAAACAAAAATAAAATTAAAAATCTAGTTCCCACAGCTCTGCTCAAAATATACAATGATCTTCAGTAGACATTAATAATACAATGGATTCAACTGTATAGCCCAGGTTACCATTTGTAAAAACACACACAGCATTCATATGGCAACACACTCAGAAACAGCTCGTATTCAGATTCAGGCTCCTGTATTCCTACTTGCTTGGCTACACAGCTATGTCATTTAGACCACCATTATACTGCATCTTTCATAAGCAAAGTAGTCCAAGGTAAGTACTAAATGTAAAAGAAAACCTATTAAAAGGTAGACACATCTATGTAATAACAAAGCAACTAAAAAAAGATGCAAGCATTTTTTTAGTTGCTATGCAAGTGGAAGTTATTTGGTCTACAGCATCTACTTGCACTTTACATTGTTTGCAATGCAGCCATAGGTAGCCTAAGAGCAAGATCCTGCTACTCCACACAGGTACTCCTAACTGGATTTAAAGAGTCAACATATTTATATCATGAGTAAGCAGATTGGGATCTGTTGCTTTTTTAATTGGTTTGCTAGCTGAACTGAATTCCTTTAGGAGCCCTGAAACTTCAGTAGAGACCTAAGACTTATCTCCCTGGAACAAACGTCCTTCTGCTGTTTGACCTCCCTGACTGGTTTCTTCATGTCAATGTTCTGGCTATGACTGGCATCTGAAGAAAGTTGTGGCTAACTGGAGTGAAATACTTGTGTGCTGGTGTAGGCACACCCTGAGGTGGCAGGTGAGGCTTACCCTCAGGACTTGGCAGATTTCTCATGGCCAGGTTTAAGGGATTGGCTAAATCAACTGCTAAAGCAGGGGTGTGCAACCCTACACCGCTACTCAGAAAAATACAAATATTATGTACAGTCAATACTATGATGATATCACATTAAAGAAAGTACAAAAGGAGGTAGTTTTGTATAATCCACTACATTTCTCTCACTACATTATTCATTTTATAAAATTAAAAACAAGTATAATTTTTCTAATACCTAAGATGTAATTTAATAAGAAGGTAAAAAACACAGAAAGTAGACAACTACGAGACTTGATGATAAACGCTCAACCTTTACAGCTTTAGCATTTAACACACAGTTAGGCAGCTTACACCTGAATAAAAGGCTGCATCTCATAAATTAACCTTTACCAAAAAAAAAAACCAAAACCGAAACCCAACCCAAAAAAACCACCAAAAACATTATACTGACATCGCATCTGAAAAATATCTTTACATTACACTCCAAAAACTGTAATAAAAGAATGGTTGCAAAGACAGTTACTGGCCAGCTAGCAGCCTTCAGTGAGACCTTTTACACATGTAAATAACAAGATGGTTTTTACATGCATGGATTCATGCTACTCTCCTCCAACATGCCTTACAGACTACCATAAAAACTGGACAGTATGAAAAAGAAAAGTCAAGGACATAAAGTGAATAAGGTGGTTTACAGAAATCCTACTTTAGCACTCTAATTCACAATGCTAAAAGCAGCACCAAAAAAAACCCCAACCCCCCAAAAAAACAAACAATCCAGAATATACAGTATTAAGATTCCATAAATCAGAATTTCAAGTATGAAGGTAAAAAAAATGTTAATGCGTAAGAATTTAGACATATTCTGCAAAACTTCTAGGTAACTGGCAGTTAACTATTATTCCAAATATCAGGCAACACAAAATAGACTTCTTCAGTCTATATACAATGAAACTGTCATCTCCTACACAATTAGAACAGATTTTGTCTGAAGGCAAGAGCATGAAGGAAGTAACGGGTGGTTTTTTTGTCTGATTATGTCTTTACTACTACCTTAAAGAATGCATTTAGGATTCCCAAAGCATGCATTAATTTCTAATCAGTACTTCCTGTTCTAATTCAGCTAAATTAGAAGCAGAATTTTTAAAATTGAAAAGCATTTAATACTTTAAAAAGCAAATGATGCAATTCACTTTTCACTGTACGCAGTACTGAAGATTCTCTTTTTCTTTGTTTTTTAATCTGGCAGCAATAAAATGCTAAAGCAAATCAATACTAAAAATAATGGAAGGATAATAATTTTTGGCACTAGTCTCCATTGTTGGAGGTTTTTAAGATGCAGTTCGAGAGGGTGCTCCCTTTCCAATGAAAGGTTGGATCAGATAGTATTTGGACCAGATAGTATTTCAAGGTCCCTTTCAAGCTGGGCTGTTCTATGGTTCTATGAATCCTTGAAAAGTTATATACTGAACACCCTTCCTGTCTAATTTAGTAAAAATTTCCTACAATCCATTTAATCAACAAATCAAATAGGTTTGTAAAAAATTCAAAACAAATTTCCATGAGATCCCACCAGTCAGTGCGTGACAGTTTCCTACTCTTTTCTTACTTACCAGTTTATCATTTTCGTTGGGCATTTCAAACACACATCTCAATTTGGAGTCCATTAACTCATCAGGTTTTGCTTCTTTCCACTAAGACAACAATTAATACAGTTACTTAACATGCCAGACTCATGCAAAGATCTGAACAGTTCATAAGCTTGTTCTTAGTACTTGCCTCCTATATAGCTGAATACTGTCCTTACCCTAGCTGCAATTTTCAGACTTGCTTCTGAACAATGTTTTTTGTTCACTTTTGACTACTGCAAAGTAATGAAAGCTAGAAATGGTTAATTAAGTCTGGAAATGGAAATGAGTACACTGAATGCAAGGATGGATCCAGAGGTTTGTAGGGGATAGGGAGAGGACAATACAGTGGTTCCTTTAACACACAATGAGGAACAAGTACCATCTGAGTCAGTTTAAGAACAAAGTTCTAGCCCTATCACTCCTTGGTAAATGTACTCCTTATGTCCCATCTTGGAAGCACCAATTTCAAACAAAAGACTGAAAGACACCTTTTAGTGACTCTATATTTAGGTCCAGAGTAAACTTCTTTAGTTCTTACTATATTAGATTTTTAGCTACTTCCTCCTTTTACTGCAGAATACATTACGATTTGGGCCTAGAGAATTTTTCAAAGCTGTTTATAAAAAACATTTTAAATTCTAATGGTTATCAATATATTTAAATAATTGTGAAATATGCTGCAATCTCTTTGCTCAACTGACAATTAGCTTTCAAAGCATACACCTCATGTAGTTGCCTTAAATCTTTAGGCTCAGAGACTGATCTGAAGTCCAACAATAGGTCCTCTGAAGTTACCTTAGAATTGCAAGTCTTACAGACTATTCAGGCTTTTCATAACATCCTTCCTTTTTTTTTTTTTGTTTTTTTTTCAGTGGCATTAGTTGTACAGTAACTTACCACGACAATTACCGATTTTCTGCAAGATCCGTTTCTCGGTATTCTATACTTGAATACACTGAGAAAGCAGTTATTTGAAAGGTATTTCTAAAGTGGATTTTTATATCTTCACCAAATAGCTACACTTCACTTACCACATATAACCAAGAGCCATCAGAGCATATTAAGAAAAAGTAAACCAGACCAACAAGGAAGAGAGATGTTTACTTTCTAGCTACATGTCTCAAAAGCTTAACAAAATCTAAAAGGTTTTCCACTGTTTCCAGTGAAGAGTTGATGCCACAGTAGTCTTTGCCTTCATACAAGGGGACAGAGCCTAAACCTGCAGAGGTCTAGTGGATTTCAGTGATTTATAAAACCTCACCTTTATCCTTTGTTTCCTCTCTCCTCCTCTGCCTTGAGTGAACATTGAACGTATGTAAACTGAGGCATTCCTTCTCTAGAGACAGAAGCCTGTGCATCATTCCCCTCCACCTTAATATACATGCTTATGGGAGTCCACATACACCCTAAAGGGCATGTTCTGACAACTGAAGGCTTCCTTCCCATTGCTGCTAGCTTCTAACATCAGAAACAGGTGTTCTTACTTCTGAACTAACAAGCACAAACCTAAATATCTTCTTTCCGGATCTTTCATCAGACCAATCCTGCCTAAAATGAATCTACAACATGTTCTATTAAAAGAAAATAAATCTATCATTTGTGCTGTGTTTAGCCACTTAGTATCTTGTAGGGAGACATATCTTAGTCTTCCAAATGTTTTAATTCAATATAATCCCATTCAACGTTTCACTTAAACACTTTTCAGACCAAATGCACCCACTCCACACAGCTTCAGCCTTGTTGTTTAAATATAGTCTTGATTCCTTCAAATACAATCTGTTTATCCCCTTCAGATTAGCTGCATATAAGGTATAACATGCCCATATTTTAACACTGAACTGACCTTATCTTAGATTCACTACTATTTCCATTCAACCAGTTCATTAGGCAAGGTCTAAGAACTGAGCTTGTATTTAATATTAAAACCCCTGAATCATGTATGAAAGTCATATTTGTTCAGAGAAAACCCAATTCTTCTCCAAAAATAAACTGCAAAAACATCATTCATTTACACTTAAGCCTGAATTTTTAAGGGAAAAAAAAATATACAACAGTCATTTTACCCCATTTTTACTTACCACTGCCTCCATATCTGAAATATTTGGTGGTGCATAGGTTGTTTGTACCATAAACTTGTGTTTACTCTTCTCATTTGGGTCGTAGTCAAAAGGCTGCAGCATTACTGTTCAAAAGAAAAGATAAAGCATAAAACTGTGATTCTTCAGCTAACTACTGTAACAAGCAAGCTATCCATTTTAGATTTGCTTCTCACTGAACAGACACTGAAAGTTAAAATGCAAAGGCAGTGCTGAAAATAGAGCAGATATACACTGTAGCAACAGGTACTGAGAGGAAAGCTCTTAAAGTTTTTCAGAGTCTGGTGTAGCTGACAGGATTATTTCTGTAATTACTATAGCTAAAAGGCATTTCATATACAAGTATGAACAAACAGATCCTGTAAGACAGACAAAAAAAAACCCCAAGCAAACACCACAGGACTTTTCTTTGGAATAAACACATTTTATGATTAAGTGAATGCAAAGTTAAAGAACTGTAGCAGATGTTATGACGATTACTCAGGGGGTGGGGGGGGGTGCAGAGAGATACAACCTACATTAGGTAGACCACCAAGCAGTGGGGCAAGTTCAACTGACTTCTAAAGGTATACTAATTTAAGCTGGGAGCAAAACTACTCACTCTTCATTCAAACTACAGTTATTATAGGAGGTAAAGCTGCCTGGGGCTTTAGTAATACATCTTTAAAAGACTTTGAAATTGAGCTCTTTAAAAAAAAAAAAGGTATAGTGATTAGTTATATAATAACTATACAACATTTTACTCAGGTTTTAACATTCTTAATCATAAGACCAGTCTAATGGTTAATATTTGTCCAAAAGTACTCCAAAATCCAGGTACACACTGTAATTCTATGGCAAGTTTTGGGCCTCTACCGCATTTTACCAGCAAAGAAAGAGGGATGGGATTCAAAATCAAATTCCCTGTAAAGGCAGCTTTAAGTGAAACATTAAAATAAAACTCATAATACCCACTCCTTGCATTTTATCTTATGTATTTTCTCACTGCATTTTCAGCTTTCAATATACTGTAATGCAGATTTTAAAAAAACCCTTCTGGATGAAACCAGACATTTATGACACAAAGTAGTTTGCGCTACAAGTACCAGAGGTAGAGTATGAA